GAGAGAGAGAGAGAGAGAGAGAGAGAGAGAGATTCTTGCTATGTTGCCCAGGCTGAAGTGTAATGGCTATTCACAGGCATGATCTCACTACTGATCATCATGGGAATTTTGACCTGCTCCATTTCCAACCTGAGCTGGTTCACCCCTCCTCAGGCAACCTGGTGGTCCCCTGTGCCAGGGAGGTCACCATATTGATGCCAATTGGCATAGCTCACTACAGCTCAGAGCTCCTGGGCTCAAGCAATCCTCCCTCCTCACCCTTTCAAGCAGCTAGGGCTACAAGCACATACCTCCAAGCCCAGTAAAAATAGCCTTTTTAGAAGTCATTTCCAAATGAGGTTATTGTTCCTGTCAGGTTTGAAAAACATGTGGACACAATGGTCACATCCAGGTGTGTACTAGAGAGGCGCTGCAGTGAATCCTACCTACCTGTGCTATTAAATTTTCAGATTATGTATCCTTGGCTGATCTTCCTAGGAGCACAGTCACCACTGGATATTGAAAAGGACCTATTTTTTACCTCCAACTGAAGCATCATTGATAAAGATAATGAGTCTTCACTATGTGATACTGGGGTCTATGTTACTGACAGTAGCTGCCCTCGATTACCCCATCTGAAAAAAATAAGGATTGTTATTAGAATTTACTTCCTAAGTTAAATGCATACATAGAACAGTGTGTGACACTTAACAGTTAATGTGTGCTCAGTTAATGTTAACTACTGGGTTTTCGTTTTTTGTTTTGAAACACACTCTCACTCTCTCACCCAGTCTGGAGTGCAGTGGCGCAATCTCAGCTCACTGCAACCTCCACCTCCCGGGTTCAAGCGATTCTCATGCCTCAGCCTCCAGAGTAGCTGGGATTACATGCAAGCACCACTACACCTGGCTAATTTTTTGTAGGGTTTTGGTTTTGTTTTGTTTTCAGTATGGACAGGGTTTCACCATGTTGGCCAGGCTGGTCTTGAACTCTCAACCTGAGGTGATCTGCCTGCCTCAGCCTCCTAGGCACAAGCCACCGTGCCTGACCTGTTAACTATTGTTATCAAAAGACTACTATAAAAAAAGAATGCACTGCCTAGAATGGAACAAACAGGTAAGAGATAATTAAGAGGTTTGTTTTGTTTTGTTTCTGAGACAGAGCCTTGCTCTGTCGCCCAGGCTGGAATGCAGTAGTGTGACCTTGGCTCACTGCAACCTCCGCATCCCAGGTTGAAGCGATTCTCCTGCCTCAGCCTCCTAAGTCATTGGGATTACAGGCACCCGCCACCACGCCCAGCTAATTTTTGTATTGTTAGTAGAGACGGGGTTTCACCATGTTGGCCAGGCTGGTCTTGAACTCCTGACCTCGTGACCCGCCTGCCTCAGCCTTCCAAAGTGCTGGGATTACAGGTGTGAGCCACTGCACCTGGTAATTAAGATATATTTAAATGAGGCCCAGCATGATGGCTTATGCCTGTAATCCCCCAGCACTTTGGGAGGCTGAGGCAGGCGGATCACTTGACTTCAAGAGTTGGAGACCAGCCTGGCCAACATAGTGAAACCCTGTCTCTACTAAAAATACAAAAATCATCCAGGAGTGGTGGTGCCTGCCTGTAGCTCCACTACTCAGGAAGCTGAGGCAGGAGAATTGCTCAAACTCAGGGGAAAGAGGCTGCAGTGAGCCAAGATCACGACACTGCACTCCATCCTGGGTGACAGCATGAAACCCTGTCTCAAAAATAAATAAATAAATAAACAAATATTTAAATGAGAAGTATCACAGTTGTTTTTCATAGACAAGTACTAGAAAAGCAGAGTAAAAGCATAAAATAACTCTACAGTCATTAAAATCATCTAGTGAAACAGAAATGAACAGAGACATGTCCTAGCATACGGATGAAACTAGAAAACAAAGAATAGAAATGCAAAACAGGAACACATGCATGTGCACACACACACACACACGCACACACAAAATCAGGTTTCTAACAAGTTTAGTTTGTAGTAAGAAGTCAGAGAAATATGCACGCAAAAATGTATCCATAAGTGTGTTAAATGTATTATGTTCAAATTTAATAAAAACTAAGTCCTAATGTTTAAAAAGAAAAACATTTAATTAAAAAATAAAAGGAAATGTTTTAAAACAATCATGGTCCAAATGAAAGGTTTCTATAAATTCACATCTAAAGACAAGAAAATGTTCTTGTTAAGAGCCACCTAAATATGTCATCAATATACGTACACACTAGAAAGAAATATAGCAATAATCCAGTGGTTCTGCATATTCTTTAATTGTTCTATGCTTTTTTTTTTTTCAAATTTTTGAAAATGAATACCTATGGCCTTTTATAATTTTTTAATATAAAGTATACTGGAGGTAAATAAAATGATTCTTTGTAACCGTAAGTCATAGATATGCATTTGAACTTACTCCTTCCTTTAAATAATTGACTGAAGGCCCTCAGAGAATATGGGGGGAATATCAAGGAATAAAAGAAAGAAAGCAACAGATGTTCAGGTAGTGGACATCAATTTTACACAATACACTGACCTACATTAAAAATAGCTTAGGTTGGGCATGGTGGCTCATGCCTGTAATCCCAGCACTTTGGGAGGCTGATGTGGGCGGATCATGAGGTCAGGAGTTCGAGACCAGCCTGGCCAACATAGTGATACCCCATCTCTACTAAAAATATAAAAATATTAGCCACGTGTGGTGGCGGAATCCTGTAATCCCAACTACTTGGGAGGCTGAGGCAAGGAGAATTGCTTGAACCTGGGAGGCAGAGGTTGCAATGAGCCGAGATCGTGCCACTGCACTCCAGCCTGCTAGACAGTGTGAGACCCCGCTAAAAAAAAAAAAAAGCTTTAAAAAATGTTTTTTAAAACACATAAAACTATTTTTTTTTTTTTTTGAGACGGAGTTTCACTCTT